GTGTCCCCTTCATCGGCAGGCGGACTCTCAACCACTGTGCCACCAGGGAAGCCCACACAGTTACCTTTTAAGGTTCTTTCCAACTTCAACATTTTATATTTCAGGATTCTCCTGACATAGTCAAAATGGCAAAGGTTACAGTTTTGTAGACTTGAGCTTTAAAACCTCAAGTCTAAAAATATATATAGGTTTTAATAAGTACATAAATGTATAGAAATGTATATTTTAATAAATATATGTTTTAAAGCTATATACTGTATATATATATTTCATTAAAAGCTACTTTCTTTTGATGATAAATTAGGCAGGTAGTTACCTGAACAAATTATAAATTCATTGTAATCATAATGCTCAATCGAATTGAACTGACCATTTCTTAAATGTTAGAAGAATGTTGTTTATAACTAAAAATATACGAAAGACTGGAGGAAATCAAAACCCGGACTTTCTCCCTGTGTGATCTCCTCCTCTTGAATAATTTAGTTGGATGGATGCCCCTCCATGAGTTCTGTGTATTTCAAACAGTTCTGAATATAAGATATTTTCAAGTGTTTTGAGCTTTCTCAGAGTGTTGCCCCATGAAGGAGGAGCCCCTTACCAATTCAGCATAGAGAATTAAGGGTAACTTGAGAATGAAAGCTTCGGTAATAAATAGATCCAGAGTATATTCTTCCTATATGGGATTATTAAAAATGAATCTTGAAATTCTCTAATTTTTCTTTTCTTTTTCTGTTAAGTTGCTATAGCCCAAGGTGAAGCAATCCAGATTTCTAACCCAGGATCTGATGGTGTTCAGGGACTGCAGGCATTAACAATGACAAATTCAGGAGCTCCTCCGCCAGGTGCTACAATTATACAGTACGCAACACAGTCAGCAGATGGCACACAGCAGTTCTTTGTCCCAGGCAGCCAGGTGGTGGTTCAAGGTATATGTCATTCATCTAATACATTTAGAATACCCATGGGTTACTATAGCACTCCATTTAGTGGTGATTTCATAGTTTTCTGAAATATACAGGAGGTAGATTTTCGGGGGAGGGAGGGAGGACTTAAATAGGTTTGGAGAAGAAATATTTTAGTATATTAAACAATAAGTTAAATAAATTATACAGTCTTTAATTTTTAGCAGATTTTATTGGCTCTAAAGAAAAGTTAAATTCAGAGTAGCATAATGGAAAAAAGGAGTTGAAAACATGAATGAAGTTTTTCATTAAGTAAATATTCTTCATTTGGGGGTTAGAAATGTACTGAGTATGTTTTTAGTACCTAGTGTAGGAAGATTTAAGTGTCCAGTCCTTGAGGCACTGAATTTGGGTTTTTCCCCAGTTGTTAACACTCAAGTCTGCTTTCTAGACATCTCATTTCAAAACAAATGGTGACTTTGTTCTTTTTTAGACCATTCTTAGTATATTTGAATTCTGAGGTACCTGTTCTACCTCTTAATGAAAGCTGAGTAGTGAAATAAAGCAGTTGGGATGTAGCCCTAAGTTTTTAGGGTAACCTAAGTAAGATTTCAGTTAAAATTGAATTATACATTATTTTAATTTCATTCGGTTGTGCTCAAATAACTATAATGTGTTCAATGCAACTTTCCAAAATCCTGTGTTTTAGTTTAATTCTATTCCCCTTGGTCTATTTGCACTAATTTCAAAGGAAGTAATATCAGTTCTTTTAGTTTGAAAGTCTTGCAAGTATAGATAAAAGCAGATTATAACTGATGAATCTCTTGATAATTAGCTTTACTCTTAGGTATTTGGGGAGCTTTACTCTTAGGTATTATATGGACTATAATAAAAGTGTATGAAGAGCCAAAGTGGTGACATTTATGGAGTAAAAAGAAAATCCATAGTATTTACCCAGTGCTTTAATGTTTTCTTTTAAATATAAATTTAAAGTACCCATTCTTTTTCCCCAGTACTCATGAACCCTATATGTCTAAATATGAAATACATTTTTTATGAAAAATCATAAAGAATGCTCATTTCTTCCAATTTTATTTTTTTTATATGGAAAATCTACTAAAAACTACTGATGCTTTAAGAAGGAGAGTTTTTAAAAATGTTTTGTGTTTTGCATCGATAATACATACATAAGTTTTATACTTTGGGGTTTTTAAGAACTCTTTTTCTTCCATAAGTAACAAAGATATTTTTCTGCATTGATTCTGTTAGCTTTTACAGTTTTACCTTTCACATTATGTCCTTAATCTGCCTGCGGTCCACCTCTGTGTATAGTGTTGAGTGGGAACCCATTTTTATTTTTTCCCCCGCGTATGGAGCCAGTTTTCCCTGCTAACGGTTTGTCCTTTCCCCATTGATTTATGGGCATTCTTAACTGTGCAGTAAGTAGGCCTCATGCAGCCCCAGTCTGTCTCAGCATTCTCTGTTCTGCGTGCCAGCACCACACTAGTTTTGTTGTCGTAGAACAAGTGCCCCTTTTTTGTCTTTTTAACTTTTTTTAGCGCCGTTTTAGCTTTTGTGAACTATTGTTCTCTCATATGCATTTGGAACAAGTTTGAGTTCCCAAATAATTATAACGTACTATAATAATAAAACCAATGATGAAATTACATTGAATTTATACATTAATTTAGGGAGAACTGAAGTCTTTTTTTATTGTGGTATAATTGACACATAACATTTTATTAGTTTCAGGTGTACAACATAATGACTTGACATTTGTATAGTCACAATAAGTGATCACCACAATAAGTCTAGTTAACATCCTTAACCATATATAATTACAATTTTTTTTTCTTATGCTGAGGACTTTTAAGATTTACTCTTAGCACCTTTCAAATATGCAACACAGTATCGTTTACTGTGGTCGCCATGCTATACATTATTACATCCCTGGGACTTATTTATTTTATATCTGGAAGTTTGTACCTTTTGACACCCCTTTCACCCTTTTTGCTCACCCCTCATTCCCAACCTTTGGCAACCACCAATCTGTTCTCTGTGTCTATGAGTTTGGGATTTTTTTGTTTGTTTGTTTGTTTATATTCCACATATAAGTGATATCATATAGTATTTGTCTTTCTCTGACAGATTTCATTTAACATAATGCTGCTCTCAGGGTCCATCTATGTTGTCACAAATGGCAGAATTTCCTTCTTTTTTATAGCTGATTAAAATTGCATTGTATAATATATACACCACATCTTTATCCATTCATCTGTCGATAGACACACTTAGATTGTTTCCACGTTTTGGCTATTGTAAATATTGCTGCAGTGAACGTGGAGGTGTAGATATCTTTTTGAATTCGTGTTTTTATTTTCTTCAGATAAATACCCAGAAGTGGGATTGCCGGATCATATGGTAGTTCTGTTTTTAATTTTGAGGACCCTCCATACTGTTTTCCATAGTGGCTGCACCAATTTACATTCCCACCAACAGAGCACAGAATGTCTTCACTTATCCAGATCTTAACTTCTTTTAACAGTTTAAAATTTTCTCCATGGGGGTCTCTCATACTTTTTGTTCAGTTAGTTTTTAAATGTTTAACCCATTAGGGTTTTGTTTTTGGGGGTTTTTTGTTTGTTTGTTTGTTTTGCTATTATGAGTGGTAGCTTTCTGTTACATTTTTTGGTTGTTCCTGGTATAGAGAAATATTGATCTTTTTAAGTGTACCTTTCATCTATGAACCTTTCTAAACTCTAATTACTTCTAATAATATGCTGAATCTTGGTGAATCTCCCTGTGATACTACATGAATATTTGTATCAAATACAAGTAAGATGTTTGTTTTTTCCTTTCCAATCTTTAGTCCTCTTGTTCTTTCTCCTTGCCTTTTCTTTTCCTTTTCTTTTCTCTTCACCTTCTCCATCTTAAAAATAATGGTGGCCAGGGGTTCTAGTTTTTTGTTAAACATAGCGGGGTCCATGAGTGTTCTTGTCTTACTCTGTCCACCTTCCACCCTGTCATCCCCTTGAAAGGTCACAGCAGTTTCTCTGTGAGTCTCTGCCTTCATCTTGATTGATCCCTCCACAGCATTTAGCACTACCGACCTCTGCTTCCTTCACTTCCTGGATGCTTGTACCCCTTCTTCCAGTCGCCTCTGCTCAGCTTGTAGGTGCTGGTGGTGGTACTCGGGCTGCATCCCGCGCCCTCTTCCACCTGGCTTGATTGCCCTCCCTGGATGACCTCATCCCTGCCCATGGCACACATCTCCGACGCCTGAAGTCCAAAACCCCACATCCATTTTTCCCACCCCAGTTCTCCTTTTGTTACCCTATTTCAGTAACTCTCCATCCTGTTGCTTCATGTAGAAACCTGGGTGTCACCCATCACTCTCCCACCCCTTCTCCATCCATTCTCCTTCCTGTAGCACACGTCTCTTCAGTCCTCTCCACCCCTACCGTCATAGTCCTCGTTCCGGCTGCCATCCCCTCTGACCTGTGTTACCGTGATTCCTAGTCCCTGCCAGGTGGCTGCCTGGAAGCTGGTAGCTGTGGAACAGCATCCTGATTTTCCTAATCATGCCAGAGACAGCAGCTCCCTTTTTGGCCTGGTTTTTTGGGAGTTGCTCCTGAAAGTTTAGCTAGGCTCCCTTTGTTGATGCCTCCCAGTGATTCTGGGAGCTACTAGTATTGCTCAAAAACAAAGTCTCTGCCTCCAGCATTTCCCTTTCCCCATTGTGCGCTCACTTCTACACTTAGGGGTGGGGCTTCTAAAATTCATATGCATGTAATTGCGTCAGCTTCCTGCTCAAAATCCTTCAGTGAATGCCTGTTACTTGTTAGACAAAGTCAGAATCCCTAACAAAGACCATACCTCTGTTTAATCCAGGCTTTACTTCCATTACTAGGCTTCTCGCTCAACTTCTCCCTCTTTTGTGCAGAATTTCTTTCATTTCCTGTGATATGCCATGGCCCCTCTCCGCTCTAGGGGCCTCATGCAGAGCCTTGTGCCCTGACAGGAACACCTCCACAATCATGTGCATTATCCAGGTTTCATGTGGGATAGCACTTCCTTAGGAAGCCTTCCTCTACCTTCCAAATCTGTCTGGTGTGACCCCTGCACCTTCTTAGGGCATGTATCCCACCATATTGTGACTCTCTGTCCTGCCCACATGGTGACTTCTGTTTGGACAGGGATCTTTAGTCTCTAGCACAGTCCCTAGTGTATGATAAATGTTCAATAACCATTTAGTGAATGACAGTGAAATACACTCCCTCTGTGAAAATGTTACTATTCCTGTGTGCTGATTAACCGAGTTTATCTGGTCCAGGGGATTTATTAAAACCGTACCAATAGCAGTAGTCAGCCAAGCAACCAACCCCCCTTCTTCCTTTCCTTCCTTTACCCTTTTTTACCACTAATAGTTATTGAGCACTTAAGAGCCAATTTAAAGAAATGTGTTTTTTTTGTTTTTGTTATTTATTTGTTTTTTGCTGCATTGGGTCTTCGTTGCTGTGCGCAGGCTTTCTTTAGTTGCGGCAAGCGGGGGCTACTCTTCATTGCAGTGCGGGGGCTTCTCATTGCGGTGGCTTCTCTTGTTGTGGAGCATGGGCTCTAGGTGCACGAGCTTCAGTAGTTGCAGCATGCGGGCTCAGCAGTTGTGGTATGCAGGCCCTAGAGCGTGCGGGCTTCAGTAGTTGTGGCCCGTGGGCTCTAGAGCGCAGGCTCAGTAGTTGTGGTGCACGGGCTTAGCTGCTCCGCGGCATGTGGGATCTTCCTGGACAAGGGCTTGAATCCGTGTCCCCTGCATTGGCAGGTGGATTCTTAACCACTGTGCCACCAGGGAAGTCCGTAAAGAAATGTTGAGATTAAAATCAATTTGAACTTTCTCAAATTTGAAATAAAGTTGACTAGTAGTCTTGGAACCAAGCCCTTAGGTGTGGCTGGGATGGAAAAGAATCCTCCATAGACTCTCCATTGGTCCCCAGACTTTTTTACTTAGCCAGGATGTCTTCAGTTTA